GGTTTTGAATTTAATTATTTTTTTTAAATAAAATAATTTTATAATAAAAAAATAAAAAAGTATTCACATTTATTTTTTATAATTATAATGTAAAGATCTAGAAATTATAATTTTTATTTTTTAATATTCTACCAAAAAGAGAAATAATATTCTAACATTTTTATTTTCTAATAATACTCATCAAACCTTAAATAAGTATATTACTAGGATGATTTTCATAAAAAGAAAGTTTTTTATAATTTTGTTGATTTTAAAATAAAAAAATTAATAAAAATAACTCTGAAGGCGGTAGGCATTGAGTAACCTTGCCTCCCAAGTTTGTTTATTGGTTGGCAGTTAATAATCAATAAAATGCATTGAATTCCTTTTATAACAGTCATCCAAGGACCAATATTGAAGCTAAAATTTCCATAACAAAATGATAGATTTTTAATGAATTTCTTGACTTAAATAAAGAAAATCTTAAAAATAAAATATTAAAAGAATCTTACTTTATATATCCAATTAATTTACATTAAGAAATGTTTTTTATAGATATAAATTTCCAAATAAAGCTAAACAAATAACAAAACGAATTTAAATATAAAATATAAAATCTTTAGAAATATTACTTCTTAAGAAATATTTTATTTTAAAATGTATATGAAATATAGAAAGTATGATTTTGTAATCCTGAATTCTGGTATAACCAAACATAACTTCAAGGTGAAATAAAACTTTATCTAAATATGATCTTACCAATAGTAAAAAGAGTAAAAAAATAATAAACAAACAAAAAATGAAGATAAAGTTGCACAGTTGAAATTTATTTAAAATGCATTTCTCTCATTTTTTTACTCATCTCCACCAAATATTTATATTAATTACTTCATTTATTTATTTTTATCAATTTTCTCATCCAAACCAAACACTACATGATTGATTACATATATTATATTCATTAATTTATTGCTTAAAAAAAATCTACATAAATTTCTTACCGGAACCATTATCTCTCTTCAAATGTAGAACTTTTCATAGAAGGCTGTGTCAATTTTGTTTTGATTTTGGAACGGAAGAAAGAAAAAGTTAATGAAGATCACGTGCAAGGGTTTTAAGGATTGGGTAAGCTTGCGGCACAAATTTGATTATTGGTTGAATTATAGGTGGGCAGCAGCCCAGGCCCAAATATAGTTCCAAAAGAAAAAATAACTACAATAAATAATTAATACCATTAAAGTTTCCCTTAAGCTGACTGTTGGTGTAACTCCTTCTGTACAATTTGTGCTGTGTGTTATGCATTGTGCATGCTGCTCTGTTTTTCACTGTGACAAACCAACAAACAGGGGCGGTGCGAGATGGTTTCCGAGGCTGATGAAAAAAATGTGATGCCCAATGATGATCAGTGTTTTTTAGTGTATTTCATTGTCGGAACCTACTTTGGTCCTGACATCAAATCCGAAGGAGCCACCAAAAAATCAATATTGCAGAGAGTAGCAGAAGGGTTCCCTCCATATACATTGAATCAATTAACCAATTCTTTCGTCAAAGTTGCTGAATTGGAACGTGTTTATTATTATATACTCAGGAAGAGTGATAAATCACTGATCCTGAAGATAAGCTTTCTGCGTCGGTTCTTTCAAGGTCAGGGTGGAAATAGCAATTACCCCCACTTTCTCGATTTNAAAGAAAAAATAACTACAATAAATAATTAATACCATTAAAGTTTCCCTTAAGCTGACTGTTGGTGTAACTCCTTCTGTACAATTTGTGCTGTGTGTTATGCATTGTGCATGCTGCTCTGTTTTTCACTGTGACAAACCAACAAACAGGGGCGGTGCGAGATGGTTTCCGAGGCTGATGAAAAAAATGTGATGCCCAATGATGATCAGTGTTTTTTAGTGTATTTCATTGTCGGAACCTACTTTGGTCCTGACATCAAATCCGAAGGAGCCACCAAAAAATCAATATTGCAGAGAGTAGCAGAAGGGTTCCCTCCATATACATTGAATCAATTAACCAATTCTTTCGTCAAAGTTGCTGAATTGGAACGTGTTTATTATTATATACTCAGGAAGAGTGATAAATCACTGATCCTGAAGATAAGCTTTCTGCGTCGGTTCTTTCAAGGTCAGGGTGGAAATAGCAATTACCCCCACTTTCTCGATTTGTTCCCTCCCCACTTGCACCCTCAGTCCCGCTTCCAAAACCTCTATAATATCGTTCACAATATTGTGTTTATTAACAATCCTGATATCAGGTACATAAAGCCAGAGGATGTTGCGAGGTTCAAAAGACTGAGTGGGGTTGAAGAGTTGCATGTGGACAGAGACGCTGTCAGGTTGCAACTGGGTGCTTCTTCTTTAGACAATTGTGTTCTCAACAACTCTAACATGTCTATGGGGAAGAATGAGAATGAGTTCTCTGGTGGGTTTTATAAGTTTCGGGATAATGTTAATGGTCGTGTGAGGGATGCTACAAGTCGACATCAGGGTGGTGATATTGAAGATGAGGTGAGGGATGATCCTGAAGAAGTTGGGGCAGCTATGTTGTTACTTCCTACCCCTCCTTCTAGGGAGGAATTGTCTGACATGGTGGCTGCTACAAAGAATGGATTTGCTTTAACTGGAAGTGTGGCTAAGGCACAATTTGGTCCCAGCATAGGACTTCTGGACATTGGAGAGTGTGAAGACTCCTACCTCTTTCGTGTGTCTCTTCCAGGAGTCAAGAGGGATGAAAGTAAGTGACTTGTTCAGTGTCAACTCTCAAGAATTCATTTCTAATATACTGGCTTTGCTGACTGAAAATTTCCATGAAAATTGTGTAGGACTCATATAAAATTCAAAAGAACACAATTTTACATATTTTAATTCTTTAACCAGTGTGAAGAACTGAATAGTGTTTGTCTTGATGTATTTGTGTGTTATTCTTTTAATTCTGAGGTTTTATGCTGTATGCACCTGAATATTGGGAATGCCTATTTTGTGTAAATGCTGTGAACTTTATTGCAAAAAGCTTTTGATTGATGAAATGGTTTGTTTTAAGTTTCATGCCAGCTGATATGGATCTCAATATATGAAGGGGTCGACTTGTTATTGTAGGAGAAATCTACCCTTCTGGAAGCTTATTATATTTAATTTTTGGTAATTTGCTTTCTTAAATATGGTCAATGGTGCTTTTAAGTGTGTTAAGTAATGCTTATGTATGCCAAATTTCTAAATTGGCCATGAAAATAATAAACCCGTTTGATAACTTTTACAGCATTGTGTCTCAGATATGCTACTGATAACTAACATAGCTGGGGTTTATAACTGCAGAGGAATTCTATTGTGATGTTGAGACTGATGGGAAGGTAATGATAACAGGAGTAACTATAACAGGAGAGACTACAGTATACAGGTATTCTCATGCTTTTGAAATGCAAACTCAAAACCTTTGTCCACCAGGTCAATTTACCTTGTCCTTCCGGCTGCCTGGTCCTGTTGATCCACATCACTTTTCAGGTAATTTTTGCACTGATGGAGTTCTTGAAGGAATTGTTATGAAAGCAAAATCAGGATGAAAAAGTTGTTTGGTTAGAATCATCTCTTTTATTTCACTAGGCACCATCGAAAGCTACTATTGGGTTGAGTGACAATATCAAGTAGGGTAGCTACACTATCCTCACTTTGAATATCCAATTGTCACATGATTAATTAGTCCATTTTATCCACATATGAAAGAGTGATTCACAGACTTGTGTTAATTTTGTGCTGACTACTCTGCAACTTAAACACACAATCCCTCTACATTTGGTAACTCTATATGTAACTATATTGTTCCACCCAACTGGAACTAGGCCCTCAGTGACTGCACATGGAAATAGATGACACCTTCATCAAGTGACTTGGATAACATTAAAAGTTCAGTTCTTTCTTATTAGATGGTTTCAGAATTGATTTCTGGCATTTTCCTACTTTTTCATTTCTGAAAGATTGCAGTCCATTATTACTGAACTTTGAAACTTTTAAATCTTACTTCATTATATTCAAGTCAAAAACACGCGACTGAATGATCAAGTTCATAAATTAACTATGGGAAGAGATTGGTTGATAATTGAGACCTTCACATATTACAATCTTGACACTTGACCAATGACTTTGTGTTGTTCTTGAGGGTCTCAATTGAAATTTGAAAGCTATATTGTTCCATATTAGTGTTATTTAGCTCCATTGTTATTATTGACACATTCTCATTCTGATCCTTAAATAAGTTCCCAATTCTGTTTCAAAAACATGTACTTTTATTTTACATGTATAATAATACTTAAATAGAAGCTGAAATGTCAATGATTTGAGGGATTAACATTTTTCAATTGTACATTGATTCACTATTTGATTCCTATATATATATATATATATATATAT